CAAAAGTATGAGTATCAAATTTGATATAATCAGCAAATAATGACATTTCTAAATTTTTCACAACTTCCGGAAAGTGTTTTCCTCCCAAATTTTTCAGGAAAACACTTTCCTGAAAATCAAGCCAAATTTTCCTTTGACTGAAAAGTATTTTTTGTTTACCAACTTTTCTAACAACAAACAAACACAATAAAGTTTGGAAAGTGATTTCTCAGAAACCACTTTTTAAAAAACAAACACAAGAAAGTTTGGAAAGTAATTTCCCAGAAACCACTTTTTAAAAAACAAACACAAGAAAGTTTGGAAAGTGTTTTCCCAGAAACCACTTTCCGGAAAATAAACACAGCTAAAAAGGAAAACACTTTCCTGAAAACCAAGCCAAGTTTTTTTTGACTAAAAAATATTTTCATTGACCAGAAAGTATTTTCCGTTGACCGGAAAGTGTTTTTCGTTGATTGGAAAGTGTTTTTTATTGACCAGAAAATGTTTTCCGTTGACCAACTTTTCTAATAACAAATAAACACAAAAAAATTTGAAAAATGATTTCCTGAAAACTATTTTTCCAGGAAACAAACATTGCCTTAATGGCACAATTTTATACCTCTACACTCAATTCAATCTTGATCTTGGTCCCTTTACTCTTAGTCGTCCTAGTATCATCACCTCCTCTCTACTTTGCAATCATTTGGTCCTTCCATCTATCTTGTACATTTAAGCTTCTGCATATATTTCAAGAATTAACTCCATGGTGCATCATATGTGGCCCTTAATGGCGTGATATAAAAGAATCTTTATTAATGAACCAAATAGCTACAGAATAGAGAGTTGAAGGATAAGGAAAAGTAAAGGGACTAGACTAAAGAAACATTTGAGAGTAGAGGAATTAGGGTGTATTTATTTATTGGAAAGTAATTTTTAAAAAATTATTTTTAAATTTTTATATATTTATTTATTATTAAAAAAATTGAACAATGAAAAATACCTTAAAAAATACTTTTCAGTTAAATAAAAATTTAACTTGGTTTTTAGAAAAGTATTTTCCTTTTGTTTTGGACGAAAAACACTTTTTAAAAATTATAAACAATTTAGAAATGTAATATTATTTATTGATTATATCAAATTTAATTATTAAACCTTTGATTGCTATATATATTTTATTTTGAATATTTTTTAATTTTATTCCTTAAAATTTAATTTTTATATTAATTTTTATTCTTATTTTTATAATTGTTATTTACTTTTTCCTTATCATTTTTTAATTGAAATTTTTTATTTATCAAATCTGGTCCTCATTCTTTTAATTATTACTTATTTATTTGAAATAATTTATGAAATAGTAATTATTATTATTTTAATTTCATTTTTTATTTTTTTATTTTTTTTATATTTAATCTCTATTATTTTGATTATTATTTATTTTATTTGAGATAATTTATGTAATTATATTTTTTTTCAATTTCATGAAATAAATTTGATCCTTATTTTTCTAATTTTTATTTACTTTTTTCTTATTATTTTTTAATTGAAAAGTTTTATTCATGAAATTTGGTTCTCATTCTTTTAATTTTTTTTATTTTTTAGATTTGATCTCTATTATTTTTATTATTATTTATTTTATTTGAGATAATTTATAAAATTATATTTTTTTTAAATTTCATTTTCATTCAACTTTTTAATTTGTAAAATTTATTCATTGTTATTTTAATAAATTTAAAAAAAAATTAATAAGTTATTTTTAAATTTATTTTTAATAACATAACCAAACAAAAAAAATTATTTTTTAATTTATTTTTTGTTACACTATTAAATATAAAAATTTATTTTTCTAAAATAACTATTTTTCAGGCCTAAATATAATATTTACTTTTTTCACTGTTATTCATGGCCAGACATGCAAGAAAACCTGATACGACTGACTAGTCTTGTTCAACTTTGTAAATTGCCCAGCAAATATTGCTGGTTGACCTGTCTCTCTCATTGGTTCTATAAAGTCTTCACAGTGAGGTAAACTATCTATTTCGTGATTTGGTGCATTGACTTTGTTGCCCTGAGAATCTAACTATTTATAAGCTTTAATATTCAGAAGCGTACTTCATTTTCACTGCAATTATGCCGAGTTTGTTTGTGGGTTTTCTTTGTTTTTGTGTTTGAAGCTGAAGTTCAAAATTTTGTAACAGAATTGTTACCTCTTCTCTTGCTTTGCTCTTTGAGGGAAAATCCAATTCTGAGCTATGCTTGCTCGCTCTTTCTTTTATTAGTTAAGGAAACATCGTGGGGTTGAGTTTTTTGAGTCACTAGTAGTTATCAAGGAAGTGGGAAGTGGGTTTTGATGAATAAGAATTTTAGTCACTGAGATTCTCTGTGGGGTGTTAACCTTCATCAACATGTGCTGCTTTTAAATATTGCTGCCTCTTTACTTTGCTTCTCTACTCCGGCGCTGTAAGGAGGCTACTTTGGCTACCTGACTTCTGCTTGTAATTCAAGGTGCTCTAAAGATACTGTTAGAATTGCGTATGTTGTCAAGGCAAGTTTATCGGCGGGAAATTTTGGGGTTTATTAGAATTGGCCATTTTCCTTATTGGGATTAACTGGTGGTTCAACTGATTCCTTAGCAGCAAGGGAAGGAGCTTTTTATATCTGTTGTGGTTTCAGTATCACTAGGTGAGTCTCTCTTTCTGTTTATTTAGTCATTGTAGTGTTACTATGATGGGTTAAACAAAGTATTCCCTTTTCTTCGAAGTTGTATGCCCGGGAGAACATCAATGCATTATTCAACCGTAATTCTAATGATGAAGTTTTTATCATGGACAATCATGCTATTCGGTTGATAGATTCTTTGTGGTTGGAAAAGGGCATGTCCCATAGTGTGATAACTAATCCAAAACCTCCTGAGATAGAGTCCCGCCGTACCAAGATGTGACACTTAACTCCTAGGCCATGGTTAATGAGGAGTGATATGAGTTGCTTGGGGGTGGGGGGCTTGTGTGATTGGAACTCACAGCAATCCTGGAAGAAAGGGGGAGTGCAGAAGATGATGGACATGTTACGGTTCCGCTTATGAGACTATTCTGATACTAGATTCACTAAAGTTGACACATGAAGCTTTGGGGTGGAAAATAGAAATCTTGAACCTAGACATCACATAATACATATGCTATACAAGAATTCTAATCTGTTGCAAGCAGTCTTAATTGCTTCTTTGCCATCTTGTTTATTGTGTTCTTGTTTTATGTACAAGTTGAAATATGCTTGTGCAAATCACATCTAAGCTTTGTTGTTAACTTTGGTAATCTATAGGCATGCAGTTGTTTCTTTAAGCACTGGGAACGTGGTCACCCTCCATCCTTGCTTTTACATCAGTGCATTTAGGTTTTGGATAAGCATTGAATCCTGGTTGCTAATTGCTGGACTTGTGCTGTTGATATTTGTATTTTACAGTTGGCGATTACATTCTGCTTTTTGATCTTGTAAATATTGTATTTTTTAGGTTATGCATATAGAATTTATCCTTATACTCTTATGCATTATAGAAATGATGCTTAAGCTCAGATTGTGCTTTGTGCAGATCCAGCATACTCCTTTTGGATGGGAACCGATGCTGCTGAAGTAGTGGAGACACTGCCGTTTCCTTATTCCTTCAAGGTACCTATGAGCCAAGGCCTGATTTTCTCCTACAGTTGGAATTGTTTGCTTCAATTAAGCAGTTATATTGTACTGGCAGTATCATCATTTCTTATAGATTATCCCGGACACATTTTCAGTGATGCCTTTTCATATATTTAGCATCTAATTATCTACTAATAAACAAATTAGTATATATCTAAGTAAATTATGTGCATCCATAGTCCATCACCCAAATTTTTGTGTATGCAGCCAGTTCGCTTGTGCCATTTTTGTGGTGGAAGTGCACTATTTCTTTTTCTTTGCCATTTTGACTGGGTAAATTTTGTTCAATTGAGTTGAGAAGTATATGGAAATAGCCTTAGTGTTTATTAAGAGAATAATCAATGATGGTTGGTAAAATCCTGTTATTTTAGCATAGAAGTCCTTGTTGTGTTTATTATGTCTTTCTACATTTTCTAAGTGTTTTTTTTCTCTGATTATTCAACTCCATTTTCTAGATAAATCAATGTACTTTATGCTTTCAGGTGCATCACTCCATGTGTACAGAGTTGATGAAGTTGGTCGATAGAGTTTCAAAAAAATTTCCAGAAATTGAAGCAGCTAGACCTCGGTGCTCGTCAGGAATACAGGCACTATGCTTGTTAAACAAAGCACTTGAGAAAGCCAGGAAACATCTTCAGTACTGTTGCGACTCTAGCAAACTATATTTGGTTGGTATCCTTTATTGATTTCAGATGAAGAAAGTGTATGTAATAATAATATCATCAACAACAATGCCCGCCACACACCCACACACCCCCACCTACACACACTGGTTGTTCTGGGATCCCTTGGATCTGGTGATTTGTTATCTCAGCATTTTGTTATATCCATGTGACCTATCATTTTTGTATAAAAGGTATGAATCATATGTTTGCACTATGGACGAATATTTAATCTTTCTGCAGTAAATGATGAAATTAACAGCATTTTGTTGTTGTTGGTTTTATCAACCTTTCTATTTCCTGATCTGTTAAATTAACACCCATTTAGAGAAAGACCTAATAAAACAATCCATTTAAAGATAATTTCTGGTCTGCATTACTTTCAGGCAATAACGGGGGATGCTATTGTCTCAAAATGTCAAAGATTAAGGAACTTGCTGGAACAAAGTTTAGCCCAATTACAAACAATGGTTCCAATAATGTTGGCTGCCGAGGTTTGTCACATTACAGGCTCCAGGGCTTCCCTTCACTTTTTTTCTTTTTTCTTGTCTCAACTAGATGGTGATGTGGACGATAACATGGTCCATGAGAAAACTATAAAACCTTCAGCAACTCTTTAGCTATATTGTCTGTATTATGGAATTATTCCTGTTCCCTGATTCTTTTTTTTTTTTTTTTTTTTTTTTTTTTTTTCAATTTTCACTCTTGTGTTGCATAGTAATTCAGAGTCAGTAAGTAAGCTGGCTGCTTATTACTTGCTCTTCTGAAATAAGGACATGGTTTTTCCTTAAAACAGTCACTGGCGTGATCTGATTGGTGATTGCTTAAATTTTGAGATTGCAAGTGCGTGAAGAAGAATTCAATAAATTATTTCCAAGTCACCTGCTTCGATCTAGTTATTAAATCATTAAATCTGGCAAAAGTTATTGTGAATCCCTCCTCATTTGATGTTGCTTTTCTAGAATTCTTTTGTTACAAGTACTTCTACCAGTTATCTTTTTTTTAAAAATAAAAAAATAAAATTGGGCATCTAATACTCAAAACTGCTATGGGCCTAAAACTGTTTTAGACCACCTTTTTTTTCTCTGTCAGTTTTCTATTTTCATTATTACTTTTTTATCTTGTCCTTCTCTTGTCTCTTTGTTCTTCTATAGGGTTGATAAGCGGTTTTTCTTTGCAGATATCTCAAATTATTGATGATCTTCAGGCAGCAATGTTTATGCCAGATTCCTCTGTAGAAGAGGCTGGTAAAGCCATGCGTGAATTGCTCCAGCAGGACAATTTAGGATCTCAGTATATGGTGAATTCTGAAATCAAGGCTATTCAACTTGCAGCTTCAAGACTGCATTTTACATCTCGAAAGGCCATACTGATAGAGAAAAGATCTATTAAGAAGCAGCTAGATAAGGATGGTGGCAATAAACCCACAAAAAAGAGTATCTTAAATTACCTTATGTTTCTATTGAAGAAGCATGGAAACTTACTCATTGAAGAGCAAACAGAGATTCCCAAAGCTCAGCATGAAGGATTATTTTCACAGAAGAACCCCAGTGATACTTCTTTCCATCGACAATACAATCAAGTAGAGTCTTGTGTAGGATGTGAGCAGTATGAGACTCAAACTGACATGTTTAGTAGAGCTACACCCCCTGAAGAGTTCAAGTGTCCTATATCTATGAGAGTGATGTACGATCCTGTTGTTATTGCTTCTGGACAAACATTTGAAAGGATGTGGATACAGAAGTGGTTTGATGAGGGTAATGATACATGCCCAAAAACCAAAGTGAAATTAGCTCATTGTGCATCGACTCCAAACACAACCATTAAAGACCTAATATCAAAGTGGTGTGTGAAGTATGGAGTCGCTATTCATGACCCAAGCATTCGAGCATTGAGGTTATTGGACATTTCTATTAATTCGATCGCTAGTTTAAGCAGTTCCATGAATGATCTAAACCTTCCACTGGACATTAGCAATATATCCCTGGGGTCTTTAGATGCTAGTTACAGTTCAGATGCTTCACAATCTAAGGTTGCAAATGGGTCAAATTTGTTTTTGGTACAGGACAATGATTATTCATATGAATGCCATTCTTATACAAATAAGAATCAGCAAGACTTGAAGTTTCTGTCTGGACTTGCTGAGCTTCCCTGGGATTCTCAATGCAAGATGGTTGAAGATGTCAAGGGCTGTTTGCAGTGTAATGATCAAGTTTGTCCTTCTCAATCATCTGAGAATTTTGTCGAACCTCTATTTAGATTCCTGAGAGATGCACGTGAACAACAAGATATAGGAGCTCAGAGAGTTGGATTTCACTTGTTGCTTTCATTTGTCAGCAAAAACAGGTAATTTATTCTCTTTGTGGTACTAGTTATAGGAATTCTTCAATTGTTTATGGTGTCTTGACCTATTTATCTGCTATCTACCCTTATACTGTATGAATGTATTCTATAATGCCCAAGCCTTAGCGGAAGGATGGTAGGAAAATCGCTGATGTAAAAAAAAGCCACTTGTTCTATTTAATCTTATATTTCTGCTAAATTTAGAAGTTATCTGCTCTAGGATGTCTTGAAAATGACTTGTTAATACTTTCTCATTGAAAACTTAGCTTTAAATTGGGCATGATCATGCTCTGATGTAACAGATAATTGTTTCCTCCAAAGCATTGCATGACATTTGACAAGCTAAATGCTACAATGGTTCTTTTAATTCTCTTTGTTGATACAAGTCTAGTTCATGCATCTCTTATACGAGGATCTATGGCTAGTAGTTTCATTGCTAGGTTTTGCTTATTGCAGAAGTGGAATATCGTACTTGCATGAAGAGGCCTTTAATCTGTTGTCATCATTCCTTGATTCCGAAGTAATTGAAGAGGCTCTTGCCATATTTGAAGTGCTGTCTGGCTACCCATATTGCAGATCTAAAATCACTGCATGTGGTGTTCTTGTTTCTATCCGAAAGATGCTTGACTCCCATAACAAAGAATTCCAAGAACTAGCCATTAAAATTCTACATAATTTGTCCTCAAACGATGATATTTGTTCCCAAATTGCATCTATGGATTGCATCCCAAAATTGGTTCCTTTGATGAAGGATCAGAATCTTTCAAGATATTCTATAGTTCTATTAAGAAATTTGTGTGATCTTGAAGTGGCTAGGGTTTCTGTTGCTGAGACAGATGGATGTATTGCTTCTATTGCTGAGCTACTTGAGAGTGGTAGTTGGGAGGAACAAGAGCATGCAGTGGCCATTCTGCTTTTGTTATGCTCTCAGCGTCTTCAATATTGCCAGCTGGTGATGGATGAAGGTGTTATCCCTTCCCTTGTTGATATATCTATCAATGGAACTGACAAAGGGAGAGCAAGTGCATTGGAATTGCTTCGGCAGTTAAGAGACATTGAATATGATAATGATCAAGAAAGCTTTTGCTCTGATCTTGTTACTGATAGAAATGCTGACCACCAAACAAGAGAAAAGAAATCATCTCCCAAGACATCTGGATTTTTCAAGAATTTATCAGTGTTCTCTGTACGCAGTTCTGTTGCATCAAAAAAGAAGAGATGACACTTCAAACCACTCCTTTTTCTGATCTTTTGGGACTCAGAATCCTTTTTAATGTCAAATAGAGAATTAACCTTGGCAGTTTTCTGTTTCTCATACCTTGTGGCACTACTCTTCTTGTCTGGAATGGAATTGCAATAGCATCAAACTGAAGATATTTTATGTTTAATTGGTAAAGTTTTTGTTTCTCCCTAATACTCTAATTCCCAGCATGCAGAGTTCATTAGGTTTGATTTCCTAAGCTGTATCTGCTGCCATGTTCCTGTTGTATAGTCAATACCAATGTATAGTTTTGCTTGATGTTGTTAGGAAAATCATTTTGATTGCCTGGAATAAGCTGCATTTATCCATGTATGATAATCTGTATTCTTTAGTCTTGTTTGATATATTGTTAGGAAGTTGATTTGGATTTCTGAAATTCAAGTTAAATTTATCCATGAATGACAATTTTAATTCTTGCTGCCTCCCATCTTTTTATTCTACAAATTCATGAAGTTTTGTCATAGTCTCTGGCCAACAAGACTATATTCCTGTAATTATCAGTCAATTGCATTTCCCTCATGTTTTATTCTTGTTGATTTCATTTCAATCCATCATCCGCATTATCTTGTGCAAATGACCAGCTGTTAAGAGCCTACACCGGTTTTTTTATTTAGATAAAATTCAAACTGGAAGAATTTTTGTAGTTTCTTGATTGTATTTGAAATATCTGTTGACCATTACAAAATCTGTTAGACTCCATTCTTATGCATTTCTATTGATGTGTTTAGTTTGGGATCTAGCTTTAATGCTTTTATATCCCATACAATAACCTAATGCTGCAAATTCCAAAAGACGATGCATATGGTTTTACGCCCAGGTGCAACTGATTTGCCTTCTCATTGGGCAGGGTCTTCTTGTTGCTTCTCAACTGCACACTGATTTATTATTTCATTTCACTATGGTTTGCATTTGCCCCTTTTTCTGTTTCTAATTTAGGCACTATGTTTTTCTGGTGTTCTGTTTTCTTACTGACTCCGCATTCTTAACTTCACTAATCTTGTTCGCAGCATAAAATGTTCTTTTTATGAGATTATTTCTATGTTCTGGGAACTGGTTGAATGGCAACCATTGATAGCTCTGTTGCTGTCTTTGTTATTCAAAGGCAATCAAAGCTGAGGTCAGTAGTAAATTAGTAACGGACTTTGCAAATATTATTTTTTCATTTGCATGCTGAATTGAGGAATTTAGAAAGCTTGGTTGCCAAGTGTCAATCTCTGACAGGAAAGATTAATGAGGTTGCCGCCGTGTCTTGCTGATGGCAGTGCCTCAGGGATGGAGGTTTTTTCTTTGGTCTGATGTAATTAAATGCTGGAAGTTAAGCAGTTAAAGGGAGAGGAGGTGATTACATGGAGTGTGATAGATCTTAAACTTGAACCTGGGACTGGAGCTCAGGCGTGAATTTGATCTGAACATTTGATAAATGAGCAGCTTTGATGGCCGAAGCTGTTGGAGACGCAAGCATATGAAGGCGGGTGGGGATTCTCCAAGGATCCAACACTTTGCCGACCCTTGGTCTCCAAACCCCCATCACTTACCTTGATACCCATCATTTTAAAGATGCCTCAGTTATATTTATCTCAATAATATGAATTATATATAGAGGCTTTAGATCTCAATGCTATGTCTTTCTCATCTTGTCTCGTGAGATTTCTATTGTAATGATTTTGTTTATCACCACCTTGTTTTAAATATTTTCCTCTTAGCCAATAGGAAAGCTTTAAGACAATGGTCAACTGTTGATGCAAGACTTGATAACTTTTGAACTCGGCTACCTGCTAGATATTGTTGCCTTTAAACTTAGAGAGATGTTAGACTTGATATCCTTGAGTTATTATTTTTCTATGCCCTAGTTGTGTAAAATTCCTCAAAGAGCCTATTATATGTCTATCAACATTAATGGTGATTATAAGGGTTGATCCTATCAATATTAATGTTGTCTATAAAATGTATATAAAATGATGTAAAATTGTTTTTTATAAGCAAGTGGCACTTTTATCATAATTAATATATGTAAGAAGGCATTTACATCTTGGGGTGATGTAACGGATTACCTCCACACTTGGATGTGAAAGGAAAAAACTTTTGACCTCTTGAATAAAAAAAAGAAAGTTCAAGATACATGGGTTAATTCATAATTTTTACTCTCTTATATATGTTCTCAGTATTTATTATGAATAAACTATAAAAAACATTCTTATTTTTAGAATTTAATGATTACGCTGTAAAATCATTGATGTAATCACTTGAGAGTTTTAAAATTTAATAAATAAAAACCATTTTATAGGAATCTAGGCTTCTCTTATCAACCTTTTAGGCTTTTAATTTTAGAAGAGAGAAGGTTTTAAAATCTCATAAACAAAAACTATTTTGTAGGGATTCGTGCTTTTCTTATCAACTTTTTAGGCTCTCGGTTCTAGAGAAGAGAAGATTGATATAAATATTTAATCATTTATTTTCTAAACATTCAAAAACTCAAGTATCTTAGAGTATTGGATTATGGAGGATCATCAACTATCATTTTTGATATATAACTAATTTGGTCTTCTTTAGTCATCATTTATATTTTTCCAAACATTTAAATTACTACATAAATAGGAACAGTAAGGAAAATCCTGCAGCTATGGCAACCCTCATGAATCAAAATTGCCTCTTCTTTAACCTCTCCTATATGGATGTGAATAAGATTTAGCTCCAAGTCTTTTCATAAGATGTAAAATGGCTTGAATGACTGAACTGATGGTCGCCATCAAGCTGCATATTCTAGTTTAGTAGTTTCTTTGTGACTAGCACATATCTGTTTGGCATAGAATAGTCTGGAAGAAAATTGTAACCCTTTTGTTTTGGTACTTAATAGTAATATTATCTTGAAGTCATAATGTCATCTCTGGAAAGTGTGATTGGAGTTGCTGGGATGGGTATTGCTGTCATTTGCTATTATGGCACAAATTGCCGGTGGGGCACCCTATCATTTTCTCATGATCTTATCCATGCATGCATCTTTATCATGGAAAACAAAGATCTTTATCATTTGTAATTCATCTCTCTCCTGAGTCCTCCTCCATGATGTTCCAGGCCAATGTTCTCTTCTGGTGATCAAGATGCATTCTCAAATGATGGATTTTTAATGAAATGCAAGGGGGAGATCTTTTCCTACTTCAGTATAATGGACTGTTCCTCTCTAAGGAGCAAATCTCTCTCTCTCTCTCCCTCTCTCTCTCTCTGTCTTCTAGGGGTTCACTACCATAAATATACGTTGAACAACGATATCAAATTGCAGGTGATTTAAATGGCTTGCTGTCGTTTTCTGTAGTGGATCAGAAGCTTGCATGACAGAGATTAAAATATATGCTTTTTAAATTATTATTATTATGAGCAACGCTCAAGGGCTTGATTGATTCTCTTGTCTCTACTCGGCAGACTACGAGCAGATTTACTATTTTTATTTTTGCAATGAACATTACAGAATCATCATCAAACTAGTTTTATATTTGTTGCCAACAACAATTATCCCTCATTCTATGCTAATGCACGTCTTGGATTCAAATCCTCATTTACATACAACAAATAGATTTGCTCGATCTCTTATTTGTTATGAATAATTTGTCTAAAATCCGATCGAAAATAGATTTGTTCTCACTATACAAAACCTAATTCGAGGATACCCCATTCGTGAAAAATAAAAAAGCTCGCCTTGATGAGCTAAAATTTATCCAAAGGGTGTTCCTCATATCAAATAGTAGCATACAAATGAGTAAATAGCAATTGAAGTAGCTCAAATTATGGCAACAAATTTGGAGTATCGCTCAGTTTATTAAAGATTGTGGTCCTTGACTAGAAGCATGGGCATATACTTGGGAAAAAATATATATATATAAACCCTAAGAGTTTCCTCTGTTTAGCGAGTGCAGTACCTAACAAAGACCCTCCACCAAGAATTGAAAGGCCAAAATCTCAACAAAAACCCGTTCAAGCCTCCCCGTTTCCTGTTCAACGGACATCCCCACATGGTGGTTATGTGACTGGGGTCCATAGCCCACTGATCTTTATTTATGGCGTACATTCCTTTGTGATTTCCTATGGCTATCTCTCTTCTTTCTCTCCTTCATTTCTCTTATCTTTTCATTCCCTATATATATATCTTCTGCTATAAATATCTTCACATTTATTTTAGATTGAGACTTAACATCTATCCTTTTAAGCTCATTACGCAATTCTATCACAAATATCAAAATATACCCACCATTGCTTTTCTAGCACATATTTTTAGGGCTAGTAACATAGTGGAGTGGTTGAGGTTTTTTGTTCAAAGGCTTTTAGCCTTCAGGAATTAGGACATCGTTCGATAGTATCACATAAACTTATGCTGTCTCAAAAACACACCTTTTGCATGGACATGACTGTGTTAGAAAGACAGCAAACAAGGTTCAAATGGCTGCAGCAGCAGCAGAATAATTATGTGAACAATTCCCTTGAATCATGTTCGATGCCTTGCAGCAGCAGCAGAACAATTATGTGAACCAATACAATTCCCTTGAATCATGTTCGATGCCTACTGACCAGTTTCATGGTTTCGTTGATCATGAGTCAATGAATGGAGATATAATTGATTGGAAGAAGAAGCCTGAAATGTATCTAGGGAACAATGATTTGCCAAAATATGGAGGTTTTTCATTAAATGGCACTGGGTTGGTTGCTAATAATAGGATGGATTTTGGACAAGCAGAGGTAGCGGGATCTGTTGAGATTGATCGTTGTCTTTCAAGGACTTCTAGCTGCCAAATTGGGGTGGAGGAGGCAGCGAAAACAGAGGAGAAGGTGGTAGCAATAAAGGTGGCAGGTGAAGACTTGACCTTGATGGAAAATAAGCAATCCAACAATGGTAGTGGAGACAATTCAAATAAGAGAAAAGCAGAGGTATGTCTCTTCATCTTCACTACAAGTTCATTCAATTCAATTCTCAATCAGGAGTATTACATGACCAAGATTTTATAAGAAATCGAATTTTCTTAGCAGTAGTATTTGAACTTATCAGTATCAGAATAGGAGTTGAAAATGAATCTTCAATTCTTGTAATTCAAGAAAGAATGAGCTTTTCTTTGTACCTCTGGTCAAAGCAAGCCAATCCTCTCCTTTTCAGCCTTTGTGTAATCAGAATGGCTTTATCTTTTAAACAAAATCTTTACTTTAATCAGCTTGATGAATTTGTGTCAGCTAAAACTTCTCTGCATTTTTTTCCTTGTTTGTTTAGTTTGTTGCAGCAGAAGAGTGTGACAATAAGATTAAAGTAGTAGAAGTCGACTCCAAGGTCAAAGAGAAAAGCAGTCCAGAGATTTCTGCAGATTCTTCAAAGGAAAATCAGAAGACTTCAGCTTTACCAAAGACTGATTATATTCATGTCCGGGCACGTCGTGGCCAGGCTACTGACAGTCACAGCTTAGCTGAAAGAGTAAGTAGGAACATTTTTCATGGGCATAATTCATACAAGTTACATGTAGAGTTATTCGTCAAAATTAATGCTGTCACCTCCACTGAGTTCAGTTATGTGTCCTTGATATATTTTAGGCTAGGAGGGAAAAGATTAGAAAGAAAATGAAAAGTCTGCAAGATCTAGTCCCTGGATGCAACAAAATAACAGGCAGGGCCGGAATGCTAGATGAAATCATCAATTATGTCCAATCTCTTCAAAGACAAGTAGAGGTGACCATCCCAGTTAATTTGTTCTATCAGATGTTTCTTTTGAGAATTCAAATAATCAAATTTCCATCTACTTACAGTTCTTATCCATGAAACTTGCTGCTCTATACCCAAGGCCAGAATTCAATATCGACAACTTTTCTGGGAAAGAGGTAAGGTTTTAGCCTCTAGTTGGAATGTTATAAATGGGAATTCAGATTGTTTGATTTCTCCAGGAACTAACATGTTCTTCTAAATAATTATGCAATGAAGTTTTTCGTATCTTGGTATTGTAGTAGTTTTTGTGGTTGTGATTTAAAAAAAAATTATTTTATAAAAAATATTTTTGGTTAAGGTTGATTTGATATTTATATATATTTAGTTAAAACTATAGTTGAAATTAAAATTGAATAAAAAATAATTTAATATATTTAATTAAACATACTTTTCAAATTAAGGTTATAAAATAACTAAAAAAGATATATATTAACATTGATAGTTTTTAATTTAAATATTATAGATTTAATTCCTACTATTATATTATTAAATAAATAATATTTTATATCAAATATTTTTTATTATTCAATTAAATTATCTATAATTTTATTACGTATGAAATTCATCTAATAAGGATTATAATTTTTATTGTTTTCTGAGCATGCAACAAAGTCAGGTAAAATATTATTAGAAATAAAATTAAAATTGCAATTAAATTTTATAAATACTATGTTATCATATGATTTTTTTTAATTTATTTAATATCATTAAATAATATTAAATACTAATTTTTTTAAAAAACAACACACTTAAAACAATTAAATTTCTTTTTAATCGTGTCGGATGCTATCAATGAGCAATAAAGTCACTAGTTACATGAACAATACTGAGTGAATTAACTCCCTCCACACTATTTATTGCTTGAAGTTAACAATGTGGAGTGAATTAATTCATTCACTCTGCACATATGGCAATGGGAGGAGCAATGAAAAGCAATAATTTTTTGCCTTAACAAGGTGGTATGACCTTAATTTTTAGTGGGATGCATCTTTAAAATCTATAATCAAATATTTAACTCAATAGCTATAAATTGTGGTTGGAACCAAACATAGTTCCAACCACAATACCAAACGGACATTCAAGAGTTTTCCAGCAGCCACTATGCCATCAACAATTTCCAATTTGACCACATTCAACTAAATCTAATGCAACGACAGGCAACAAGCAGCGAGCCAAAATCTTCGACAAATCCTCCCCAACTTGTGCCAGTAAAAACTACAAGCTCTTCAGCATTCATCAATGACCTATGTCTTGATCCATTAGCTGTAATTGCATCTACACTTGGTGATTTAAACCCTTTGTTACTTTCTTGGCATTGTATCACGCCCTTGATCCTGACATATAATAAATCAAATGCAGCAAGTTCAACCTTTCTGGGATGCTGACTCACAAAACCTTCAAAATCTGGGGTTCAATTAAAGTTAATCACCTTCTCTTTTCGTCTTCAACATTCACAGGTAGCTAGACACAAACATTCCTAAAATAAACTATGCCTCTACCTGTACTTGGCATTTTCTAATTCATGGTGTTTTTTTCAGGCGTCTCCCGAGGACTCTATCAGTCCCAGACCAGCGATGTAATTTTGGAAACTAATCAGCATCTCAAGAATTCAGATTCAATAGTTCAGCAATTCTGATAATTCCAGGCACTATAAATATTTCCCTCCACACGTATAGATGGATGTTGCAAAAACCATTGTTAATTCTTCCCAACCAAACAATCAAATTTCTTACATTGCAAGACTAAAGATATCCAATATGTCTGCATCTATGCGCTTGGTAATTAATATATGCTTCTTGTGCTCTTGTACTTTGAAAGAAAAAAGGACCTCATGATTGGTACTCTAAGAAAGGTTGTAGGAAATAAAAATGATGGAGAACCATGAACAATGGTTGGTTCATTAAAGCAAAGTGGGGGCAAGGAAAGCTGAAAGAAAATGGAAGGAGCTTGTTGTTGGAACGGATGAGCTAGCTAGCTAGTTTAGGCTGCTTAGCAGAAGAAAGCAAAAGAAAGCCATTTGTTTATAGGACCACAAACCACTGGCTTGAGAATGTTGTGTCTGTAACTGTACATAGCTGAAATCCATAATGAGTATTTGGTATACTGTGTTCTAAAAATGCCTCGTTTTTGTGCCAAAAGATCATAATCGAACGTTTTTCTTCTTTTGGCTTATACAGATGGCATTGTCAAATTACAGTACATGGTCCCGAAAGTTATCCAAATAACTCCCACTATTCAACTTAACTGATAATGGAAGAGAGAGAATATCTGAAAGAGAGATGAGAGAGAGAATATGCTTCTACGACATTAGAGCTCTGTTTACACAGTAGCGGTTACGTTTTAAAGAAACTATAATTTTATAATGTTTGGTTAAAGTGGGAAGCAGTGTTTTTAGTTTATGAGACCTATCGAAAATCGCACAGAAATACAGGTCAGGGAGAAACAAGATACACCTACTTTGCCGGTATCATTCACTTTTGTGAAGTGAACAGTGCAGAGTGAATTAATTCACTCTGCACATTTGTTAACACGTAAACAGTGCAGTGATTTTATTCACTCATGAATAGTAAAAAAACTATTCTTTAAAAAATATATTTTATTAAAAAAATTAGTATTTAACATTATTTAATAGCACTATATAAATTAGAAAAAGATCATATGATGACATAATCTTTGCAGAATTTCATCATAATCTCAATTTTGTTTCTAATGATATTTTACTTGATTTTGTTGTATGCTTAATAAATCATGAAAGCTGTAGTCCTTGTCGAATGAATTATAGATAGTTTAATGATGAAATTATAGATAGTTTAATGAAATAATAAATTTTTTTTGTATAAAGTCTTATTTATTTCATGATATAATAACAGTAGTTAAATCTACAATATTTAAATTAAAAACCATCAATATTAATATATATCACCAAACACTTTAAATTACTCTTTGTTCAAACATATATAAATATCAAATCAAATTCAATCAAAAATACTTTTTATAAAAGAACTTTGTTCAAACCATAATCACAAAAACTATCACAATACAAAACACACCCAATCCCTTCTATATAATTTCACTGAACAAATTTGATTCATTTGGTGTCATTTAAAAGATATAGTTGTCGCAAGTTTTGTGGGGAATTTGGATTTTAGGCAATTATAGCTGCTAGTTTGGTTCACTTAGTTCCACCATTGGATCAAATCTATTTTTCAAATAGATGTTCACTCGGAGGTTCTCTCAGGTCTAACAAGTGGAGATCAAATTCCATCATTCTTGAAAGATTTTTTCTTCTTAGAATACCTCTACTCAATATTCATATTTGAATGCCTCTTTGTAGATTGTGCTTGATTTAACCATTAAATCACTCTGGTTCTTTGATATGTTATATTATACTTGCTTATGTTGAACTAGACTATTGGATTTTAGCTACTTTTATCTCTATTGTGTGTGCTGCTATTTCGAAGTTACTACCCAGACATGGATATAAATCACCCAGAAATTAGTCAACCAATTCACTAGAAAATGGTTGACTGTTTCACTATATAGCCTGCTTCCAACCTAGTAATGGCCACCAAAAAACCCTTTAACACCTCCACAAATACAACAAACACTATAAACACTATAACCACAAGCAAAATCACTCACTAACCACATTAAAACACCAAGACTAACCTTAAACCATAAAAAAAAACTCAAGCTACCCCCACACAAAACACCACCACAGCTTATAAAAACATGACCACCCCCAATTCAGCCCCAAGAACTTCATAGGCGGACAAAGTAAAGGTCTCAAATGCTATAACCCATGCTAAGATAATCTATTTTCCTTGACAAGAGATTGACATCATTTTGGACATTTTGAATAATGTCATTGACGAGAGTGCATCCAAATGGAACTAGTGCTTGGTGGGATTCTTTATAGGTTATAAGATGCCCTATCATGCACTCAATTCTATAGCATTATAAGTATGGAAGAGTTATGGCCTTGAGAGTGTCATGACAACACAACAAGGTTTCTTGATCTTTTGTTTCAAAAGTGAGGATGGTGTTAACTTGGTTATAGGAAAGGGACTAGCATGGCAGAGGTACTTTTCTTGATAAGCTAAATTGGATTTTTGCTAACACGTTGGATATTTACTTGACTAGTTATTTATTCTAAATTCCTTCTTAAAGATTACTTATATTACAGTGTTATTGTTGTTCAATTCATTAATCCTCTACCCAAAGTTAAAACATCTTTTAAGTTTTCAAATCTATGGGCTGATAGGGATGATTTCTTGGGTTTAGTTGCAGAGATATGACAACGTTCTATGGATGTTAACCCTACGTACAAGTTTAATAATATACTTGAACTGCTAAAGCCTAAGTTAAAGTCTCTGCACCACCAACACACTAGCCACATAACTAGTCGTGTGATTGAGGCAAAAACTAGATGAACTACAGTAGAATATATACTTGATTTAGTAGGCAGAGAGAGAGCCTATAAAGGATTTTTTTTAGTTAAGTAAGGATAAAAAAGCTCTTTATAAGTAGAGGTCATGGATTTAGTGGTTAAACTTGGAAGATAAAAAACATCAAATTCTTTTATAAATCTATACTATATAGACAAGTGAGAAATATGATCCATTGGTTCACTGATGAGACAAGATCTCAAGTTTAAGAGGAATAGGGTTTAGGTCAATTGATAGTACTACTTTCAAGGGTTGTTTTTTACATATTCAAAAATGATTACAAAGAATGCCTCTCAATACTTCTATGGTAGGATTGCTTATGATCTTTTTTCGGAGTCATGCATCACTAATGATGAGATAAAACAATTTTTATTTTTCATCTCAAATGATAAATCTTTTAAACTAGATTGTTATACCTCTTTATTCTTTAAAAAAAGTTAGAACATTATTAGGGAAGACTTCATTGCTATTATGAGGTGTTTTTTTATTCCTCTACTTTATCTAGGTGTGTTAATGCTACTAGGATTGCCTTGGTTTTATTCCTCTACTTTATCTAGGTGTGTTAATGCTATTAGAATTGCCTTGGTCTTGAGGTTGAAACTCCAACCATTATAAATGACTTTAAACCTATTTCATGTTGTAATGTGATGTACAAATACATATCTAAAATCATTGTGAACAGATTGAATATGATTTTTTAAGAGGTTATTAGACCTTTGTAAACTGCTTTTGTTTTGAAAAGATAAATATCTAATGTTATCTTGTTGACTCTAGAACTAATACATGATATTACTTAGCTAGTTCTATACCTAGATGTGCTTTGAAAATTGACATCAATAAAGATTTTGATATGGTTAATTGATATTTTATCTTACGAGTTTAAAAGTTATTTTAGTACCTGGTTTTGTGATTAAATGGATTGAGGTATGCTTGTTTACAGCTCATTTCTTTATGGCTATAAATGAATATAGTCATGTTTTCTTCCCATCTTCTAGGGGTCATTGACAAGGTGATCTTTTATCCTTTTTTTGGTTTATTCTAGTTATGGAGAGTTTAGAAAGCATTCTTAGAGAAGCCTTAAAGAACCTGAGGTTTTGTTATCATTGACAGTGCCAACAGAATACCATTACTTACTTGTGTTTTGTGTTTTGTTGATGACCTTATGATCTATTATCAAGTAGATAGGGACTTAGTTAGGATTGTTAAGGAAGGCTTTGGATAATCTTGTATGGTTGTCTGGTTTTGTTATAAATTTAAAAAAGAGCCTAGTTTTCTTATCAAGAGTTGACAATGAGTTTGGGACCTCTTTACAAGAATTTTTTAGGTTTTAAGTTGGTTTCTTTGCTGGTAAGATACCCGAATGTCCCATTGATATATACTGTTCCATTGATATCTACTACACTGACTCACTCTGATTATAAGTCTTTGGTGGAGCAAATTCTCTCCAGGATTAAGCTTTGGACCTCAACTTTTTTTATTTATACTGGGTGTCTTTAACCAATCAAATTAGTTCTCTTCTCTATCCAGGTTTATTGGTCCTCCATGTTTTATTATCCCTTACTTTATTATTAAAAAGATAGAGGGTATCTTAACTATCTTTATTTCAAAAAACTACTCTCTCTCCTATTAAAGGGCTAAGGTGGCATGAGTCTATGCTTGATATCCTCTTAAGGAGAGTGGCCTAGGACTAGAAATGACACAAACTTGGAATAAAGCATTTATTCTCAAACATGTCTAGCGATTACTTTTAGATAGATCATTAGCTTGATTGAGATGGGTTTATAGTGTTCTACTTAGAGGCAAATCCTTCAGGTATGTCAGGCCTCCTTTAGTGTCCTCTTGGTAATAGAGGAAGAATCTACTAAGTAAAGATTGGTGTAGAAGGAAGTTTGTTTCCAGTATTGGTGATGGGACACTACCTTTCTATAGTTAGACTATTGATTATCAAATGGGCAATGGTTATGCAACCTAATGCCTTTTAGGGTACTTACTTCTACTAGGTTGTTATGGAATGTTATGGTCGTATATATCATTAAAGGGGATACTTTTGTTTTTCTATCATATAGTCTGGAGCTCCAGCCTATTTGGGACTGAATTAATTTTAACCTTAAGAGTGCCTTACTAGACCATTATGTCTGGAATGATCACTCATTGGGGAGGTTTTTTTATTGACATGGTATGTAAGGTTCTTAGAGATTGCAAACTCATAGACTCTATTCACCATCTTTTCTAGATCGTAGGTTTCACCCTAAATATTTTTTTATCATATGGCTTGCCTCGATGGGTCATCTCAACATAATAGATAGACTACATGCATTTCAAATCATTCCCTCTTTGA